AAGGACTCATTTTGACGGAAAAAGTGAAACAACTTCGGGGCAAGCTTGAGGATGGAAAGTTGCTGGTTGTTGATATCATCGCCCACCACAGGTCACGGAACCTATTCATCTGTGTCATTGTTAGTAGAAGGCGGTCGATCTTCAGTAATTACCATCTGCTGTAAAAATGGAAGTTATTTTCAACCATCCAAAGCTAAACCCAAAGTGTAAATGATGTTCATTTTATTGCCACGCTTGTAACAAACAAATTTGTAAATTATCTTTTCCTGCGCTCGAATTCCAGACACAGTTTTGTCTATCTTCGCCATTGGTGACCATTTTATGGTTTGCAAAATAAACAGAAAGTAGGCACAGTGGCTGAGGTCAGAAATGCCTTGAAAAAATTTCCACTCCATGATTGCTTTTGTTTGGTTACTATTAAATCGAATAGAAGCAGATCAGAGCCTTGTCAGACCTCGAAGCAAAAATGGTTAGTTTATCGGTTTGCTGGAAGCTTTACCGCACAAAAAGACACCAACTTTTGGGGAGAGAGTTGAATTGAAGGACAATGGGTTGGTAAAATTTCTTTTTCGAAAGTTTTAGAAATTTAAAAGTGGATTGGGAGATGAATGCCTTTCGAAGTTGTACGGTGGGTACAGATTTCAAAATACATCAAGCGGTGTAGAATGTGTTCGATTAGCATACTAAATCATTAATGCACTGATGATAGTCTTGCGAAAATTTCTCAAAGGAAGAACTTGAAGCAGATTTTGCATTGTAAATACTAGAAATGTGATGCCATGATCGCTGTAAATTGAGTCTTAAAATGCAAAACTATATTGAGAATGTTCATGCAAACAGAATCAAATTTCTTTTTCGTGAGAAAAGACTGTCAGTTGTCAAAGAAGGGAACCCTATGTGCGGAGCCAGATCCAACCATCTCACCATGTCTATCCGCGGGTCACTGTGATGGTAAGTCGCCAGTCTGCCCAGGACCTCTGCCTGCATCTGAATTGGGCCGTCGCTGCCATGAGCACGGGCATTGTCTCAACGGCGTCTGTTTGCCCTTCTGCTCGCGCCTCGGCCTCCATACCTGCATTTGCGATAAAGGTAGCTTTGTCTTATTTTACCTTGCCACACATTGTCATATTTTATTCTTTTATTGTGTGTTCTACCGCAGTTGAGGACTCCTGCTTGATTTGCTGCTCATTCGACCTTGAAACAGCCAATGGAAGGCGAAGAACCATTTGCCAACCAATAGCTGCTTTCGCTACATCGACAGTTGCAGCAGAGAGCACACCACTAAGAGCTGGATCCTGGAAGCTTTACAAGCTGCCTCTTCCAACAAAGAATGTCGGAGAAAGTGTGGAAGAGTATTTTTTTGTAGTTGGAAGGGATGTGGAAATACCCAGAAGGTATGAAATGAATCATGCAACGGTGGTAAATACTTCAGAACTGGTGACAATGCACCTAGAGAATAACCGACCTTGTGCAGTGGGATTTTGTCGCAGCGGTATTTGTGTGGAATCGAAAACGCAACGATTGGGACGACTATGGCCTCTATTTCTTTCAACCGAGGCATGGAGTAGGTATTTTGTTTTAAGCGGATCTTAGGGAAAGCTAATTAAATGTATGTCTCAAGAGAATTGCAATCCTATAGTAGGTTTACACTTTAAAGGACTCAAGCACAACAACCTTAAGATCGAGAAAATCGCATATTGCATATGTGATGCTGGCAGCAAACATGTGGGTGCATGTTACCACCAGCATTCACCTCATGCTGGGGAGTGACGGGCGGCGTTAAGAACAAAAACAGTGACGACCTACTTGTGGGTGATGGAGTTCGCTGTATAATCGAGTCCTTCAAACTTCTAATGAGTATTCCATCATAATCACTGCAAATACAGCCCTTTTGGTCTTCACCGAAGTCATAGGAAGCTGAGGCATCATGGATGAGCATGTATTTCTAGGCTTCTAACGAGATAGTCACCATCATGGCTCCAAGACCACGCTGCAGAGGGGGCCACAGCCCATGCATAGTAAAATGCCCATACAACTAAGCGGAATAGTCCATTAATTTCGTCGCGATGATTGCTGTTTAAATGACCCTCCTTCCATCCTTATAATACTTTGACACTCTCAAAGCTGTTGCTAATCGTAGCTGCTTCAATTCCTGTCTTCCATCCTTCGCATTCAGCAATGATCCACTTTGCTTCCTGCAATAAATTTTGCAGATTTTGCGAACACTTCATCGCCAAAAAGCTGTGGTTATAAAACTCTATGCATTTATAGTGTAAACAACCTCC